CACACACACACACAGAATTATCAATAGCCAAACCAAGTTCACAGTCACAAAAAAAAACGACACAGGGTATATAGATACATATGTTACGTGAGATTTATTGGGGATACTGACGTTGGTAGACATCTTGACCTCACTTTTTCTTGGGTAAAGAGTTGGAGTTAACCTTACATATTTTATATAAAAGGAATTTGAGCGTTATTTAAAGTGTATCATGATTGCGAAGAAAAGTGACAAAACATTAACTTGAAATGACTTTATTCACTAGACATAAGAATAACCCAGGAGTACAGGAGACATGGGTATAAATAATATTCAATCTTTGGTTAACTTTATAACCTACCAATTAGACGCCAGAAATTGATGAATACTACATGTATCTACATAGAATACTACGTTATACTAACCTTAGTTTAAGTCAGCTAAACAATATAGTTACGTTTAATAAATAAGTACAGTGTGACGCACACTCCTAAGTACGCGGAGGGCTTGGAAACAACGTGCTATCTACATATACCGATGGAAAGAATTCGTTTCATTCATACAGATAGAACAATGCAGTTACCACACGTAGTTGAAGTATTCGTGAACCCTAACACCAACACCGTCTGCAGCTATCAAAACGAAACTTAACCTGTGCTAAAGAACCATCAGACCTAGTTCTTAAAGTATTTAAATACCGGGTATGGGCCTACTTTTGTTTTTTATTTAAATGTCATATCACCGATTTCATTGATGAGACTAAATACGTACCGAATTTCCTTGTTATACTGTTAAGTTTAATGCTACACCGAAAGAGGCGTAAACATAACTTTTACATAATTAGGCCTAAGAACGTAAAACATTAAATGAAACACTTAACCGCCTAGTCTCACATTACGATAAATTACAATTTATGGCCTACAAAAAAATTCCTAATGCGAGACTATCAGTTACCATCAGATTTCACAAATATATTCAAGCCACAAATTACGTTTCAAATGAGAAACGGTTAGCAGAAACATCAAAGATAACGTATATCGTTTTCTCTATTCGTAAGATTAGGTTAAAATTCTAGTGATCAAGTTATAACTTTAACGTTACTTATACTGACAGAAAATAGGTATTTAGATTATGTATAATTACTGGTCACTACGAATGTGAATTTACCTCTGAAATTTTGTCAGCTGTAGACGTGATTATGGAAAACTATGGTAATTAAGGCATAGAAAATATTGCTGTAACTTGCATATAATATGTAATGTACAAAAAAGTATGATATGCATAGCTCTAGTAAGATATACTGATGGGAAAAGATAAGTGCTACCTCGTTACACGAATAAATTAAACAATGTATGATCAAATAGTAAACCACTAAATTTTGATTCGATTAAGTGCATCCATGATTTAAAAAACAACTAATATTCAACTGCAAGATTATTATCACCATCTTTGGATTGCCAATTTTTAAGACTTAATTATTTACTTTCTAAAGTTACCTTTTTAAATCCTGATGATGTACGAAGCTGTCTGATCGTAATCTCCGTAACAATAAGTAATTGAGATATAAGAACTTTCTAGATTCTGATGTTGTAAATCGTGAAGTCACCTACAGACTAATCTACTCAAATGTTTGAGGGGGAAATATGTGACAGCTATGCCAGCCTAAACTTTATAGCTTCTAGTTTTAAGGCAAGTCTAATAGAAATATATTTTTTTTATATAATTCACTGGTTTAAATACAATGGTATCGATCTTAAAATGTTCTCAGCAGATTTTAAGTTTGTATATTCATAAAAAAACCTGTTTAACAATCTCTTCAAAAACCAACTTTGAATATTCTCCAGAAACATTCTTCTATTCCTTATTACACACACCACACACCACTAGCAAGTTGTTTATCAAGCAATAATAACAGTGTTTACAAAAACCAAAAAAAAAAACCAAGTGAGGCAACAAGACACAACAGTAACTACATCCACAAGTAGCAGGTGATGCCAAGATGGTCCCTGTGACTTGTTACAATTGTGTCAGTACATATATATATATATATATATATATATATATATATATATACACACACACTACTACTACTACATAGTAGTAGTTACGTTACTTAACGTAACGTAAGT